ATTAGATTAAAGATTAAATATAATTATCTAAGTAGGAGATTAGTAAATACCTTACTTAGCGATAGTAAGGTTAGTTAGGAAGGCTATAATACTATTTATATTAAAGGTAACCCTAGTATTATTTAAAACCCTCTTATCTTTATCTAGGTAAATATAGGGTATCTCGGCTCTAGAGTTAAGACTATAAAAGGCCTATGTTCTAGATTTAGGGCTTATTTTTCCGGCTAGGTTATCTTTCTAGTATGCGATCGCCTCGTTACTAAGGATATTAAGACCTAGCTCTAGCGTAAACTCTAGGTATATAAAGAGGCTAATATCTTCATTAGGGTCTTCTATATAGCTATATTATACTACTTAATAGCAGTCATTATAATATCCTTAAAACTTAATAAGTTATTCTGCTAGCTCTTATGCGAGGTATCTAATTAGATCTAGCTCGCCATTTTATACCTACGAGGAGGTCTCTAAAGATATATTAAGCATAATAGCCTAGCCTAAGTCGATACTCTCGTGATTCGAAATAGATACCAAGTCTATAGCATCTATAAAAGTTCTAATATTAGCTATAGCCTGCTTTTTAATAACTTTTAGTAGTTAAGTATTGATTATAAGTAGGAACTATGAGCAACCCGTGCTGTCTACCTTTGATATATTACTCGAGGGTAGGATCAATGCTACTCCAAGGGACTCACCATCGTCAAAGGACACCTCCTCAGTATTAGGTTAGAGTAGAGGGCTAGGTGGAGGTAGAAAGTTACCGATGTCTTAGTTTTTATTGAGCTCTGCGACGAGACTGCTCTCTATACTATCCAAGTGCTGGATAGGATGGCTATAATTAGCTAGAGTTATAATAGAATGAAGTTATAAGTTATAGAAATTGCTATATGGTAAGTCTCTCTCTCTCGCTGCTACTTTCTGCCGCTTTTCACGTTTGCATTAAGTATCTGCTGTTACTTTGTCCTGGGCTGTTATATATTTGCGTGGTTGTCTATGCTTCGTTAGTCTCCCCATATTAAATCTAGTAGATATTAAAGAATTGGGTATTAGAAATTGATTTTAATAATGCTATAGATTGTTCCTTAAAATTCCTTTTTTTTATTATTGCTTTTGCGGGTTAATATAGCAGCGCATGCTAATCGCTGCCCTAGCATAAGAATACTTTGAGAATATTCTTTTATTTAGCGGGCTAGGTTGACTACCCTGTGAATACCCGCAATATAAATATCTCTTCTCTCATAACGCAAATAGTAAAATATAAATGTGGCGGGATTCATATTCTGCTATTCTATCGCACTCACTAAAGCGGCCAACGAGAAACCTAATATAGACCTTGGCAGGCAATCAATGATTCTCCCTCCCTTTCGACTTGTCTTCCTAGAATCATGCGCTAGGCTCTATATAGGCTAATAGCTCTATGCTTTTGAAAATAGATAGATGTATCTATTAAGGCTTTGACTTTAGATATGGGATATTTTTATGGTCTCCTATGCTGACGGTCTTTTCCTTCTTGTTATGACATCTACCTCATTTATTCCACGTAATAGTTAATTGCCGCTGCCCGAGTTCCCATAAGTAATATCATATTTAATCTAGGTGACTTGGGAGAATTGAAGAATGCCCTCTGTGGGTCGATTAAAAGATATTGCCCGCTGCGCTTGTCTCCTAGCTCGTCTTCGGGCAGCATTAACCGCCGCCTTTTCTTCTCGGCTTGTATACTTCGCCGGTCGGCCTCGTTTGCGAGCTAATTGATGTCTATTTTCTGTGCGGCGAGGCTATTGTTAGTTAGTGTAAGTTATATGATGTATTTGAAAGGTTGGTTAGGGTAGTCTCGAGGTAATTTGTGATTCTGGAATAAGAAGTACTTGCTTAGGTGGTAGTAGTGGCCCCGGGGTAAATCGCGGTTATATAGTCGGTGGCGGTATATAGCGGCTTATTATATCTTTAGGTACCGATTGAAATATGGTTACTCGTTGCGACTTAAAAGCTTATCTATATCTATCTATAATTTGCTTTTAAAAACTTATTATATATTATTTGACCTATTAATATATATAAAAGTTAAACTTAGTTTATAATTAGCTTAGAATTATAACTTAAGGACTTATTAATATATATATTTTAATTTTAATGCTATATAGATTTAAGATCGAGGAGTTAATATTATAATCGCTCCCTAGATACTAAGTAATAGATTAATAAGTACTTTATAAAGGATTTTAATATATGCGGCTTAATTAAGCTAATAAGCTTAGGGTAAGGTTCTCTTAATTATAATAGGGTTCTTATATCTTATATAATAATACTTAGCCGATATAGTAATTAATTTAAGACCGCTATTAATTATAGCTCTAATTAAGGTATTAAGGGATAGGTATAATATACCCCGGCCGCTAGCGGGTTTTTGCCTAGTATTAGCTTTCTAAAGAAGTATTCTCTACTATAAGTCTAATCTCGCCCTAGATATCTATTGAAAACTATTAGCGCTTTCTATCTTTAGTCCTCGGCGCTAGCCCTCTTAGTAAAGGGTATAGTAATACCTAATAATATATAAAAAGGTAATATTAAAGTCGATGCGCGAATACCTATAATAGCCTATACTCCGCTAGAAAATATTATAATATAGTATATATCTATTAATAAAGCTTCCGAAATAATATATTTCCCTAATAGTCTCGCGGCTAATTATTATTAAACCCGAATAATACTTAAATAGCCTTATAAGGGTTTTTATAATACGAATGATTGCCTAATACTATAGTTATATTATTAATTAAGGTAGCTAAAAGACCTTTGCGATAAAAGTAAATATAATTATCTAGGATCATAATATAAACCCTAGGGCAGAGGTCGCGCTAAATAGAATATAAAATATTAACCCTTATTTACTATAGATAAATATAATAAAGCTATAATATAATTTAATTAGCGATAATTACTTCTATAAGATATTATCGGAGCTACTCGAGGCCTAAGTCGGCATAGCGGCTAAGGTTAAAGAAATACTTAATATAATTACCGCATTTTAGATATTATTATTAGAGAGTGCTATTCCTAAATAAGACTAAATTAGTAATATCTGGAAAGAACCTTAAGGGAGCCTAGTTAATACGAGGCTTAATCTAGTAATAGCTATATTACTTTAATATTTAGCTAAAACTAAGGCTATAATATATTTATAGCGAGCCTATTAATTATAATAATTCCTATCTATTTTATTATAGTGCCCCTTCTCGGGAGTAATTATATCCCCTAACTATAACTCGCAGATATTAGAGAAATATATCTATTATTTTAATATATTCTTATATTATTAGACCTATAGAACTTTATGCTTAGATTAGCTTAAAACTAGTTATAAACTTATTAATATTATATTAGATAAAATTAATAAAAATAGGGCTATAAATTACCTATATATAAGGTAAAGGCCCTAATAGCTTTATAGAGCGGGCTTTAGGGGTTAAAGAGTATAGAATTACTAAGATACTTCGGAATAAGACCTATAAAATATAAAATTCCTCTTAAATACTAAAAGATTATTATTTTAAATCTACTAGGCTATAATAATAGCGGCGCTTACTAGCGATATATATATAATCTATAATGCTTTTATTAGATTATAGCTTATAAGAAATATTTTATATATTATAATAGAGCTAATAATTTAATGCTATATACTATAAATCTAGATTCTAAAATAGAAATATATAAGTGGCGTCTATAATCTCCTTAATAAGACTATATATCTAACTATAGAGGATACCTCCGCGGCGGAGTCGAGAGTTTAGGGGCATTAATATAGTTATACCTCTAGTATCCTAAAGTATTAATTTATAATAGAAATTTTAGCTAGACTTTAGAATATTCCTATTATAGAGCTAACTAAGGTAATAATAAATGTAATAATGCTACTAGAGGTATATCTAAGCGTTAGGTAATAAAATGCTATTAATTTATACTCTTAGGTCGCTATGCAGTAAATAGGTCTCTTTGCCTATATCGATATATAACTAGTCGCTATATATATAAGAGAAGTCTAGAATACTATATAGTTTATAGTTAAAGTTTTCTATAACTATAAGTAAATTAGATAATATATCTAGGTATTTAAATAAAAGTTTAATACTTTTTGCCTTAATAAAAAACTCTAAATCGCGAAAGTCTTATAATCCTAGCTAGTATACCGCTATAAGAATATAATCCTATATTTAATTTAAGCCTTCTAATAATAGGAAATAAGATATTTATAATTAGGCTTAATAGCTAAGGGTCTTAAGTAGATAATCCTCTACCTAAGGAGCATAATAAATAGCTAAGGTATAATAATAACTTACCGGTAGATATTAAAGTTAATCTATATTATAAACTTAATAAATAGCGGGATAGAAGATATTATTAAATTACCGCGAGAATTACTTATTAGTTAATTAATAGAAATTATAGCGATATAGTAAGTATAGGAAGAATAAATAGAGAGTAATAAAATTAATACCTTTAACCTTTATAAAGGTAAAATATAATATATCTTTAAGTTAGGATAGAAGTAATTAAGGTTACTTTATATTGGGAGTAGCGCGATTAAAAGTTAGGTAAATATCTATTTAAATATTTTAATAATACTATAAAGTAGAATAAAATTATATCCTATAGACCGCGGCTACTAGAGAATCTATAAAGCCTAATAAGCTATTAATATTAAATAAAATAATAGGTAGAGTCTAAGGGGGGTATTCGATATAGAGGTAAGCCTACTTAGGCTTATTATTAAAGTCTTAGGTTATAAAACTAATAAATAACTCCTACTATTAATCTAGGGTAAGCCTTATTGCCTTACTATTAATTTCGGGGGCAAGGATATACTATTTATTAAGTATATAAGGTATATTATAAGGGACTAGTCGGTTAAGCCCGTAGTGGTTATTTAGTCCCTAAGCTTCGATATGCGTAGTTAGAGATTCTCGGTGGCTTTAGACGCTATAGCTATATGTACCGGTAAGGAATTAATAGATAAATTTCTGCGTAGTATATTCTATATTAGTATTAGTATTATTATTAGCTAGATCTACTTACTCCTCGGTATAGATGCGTGGGCTTTGGGGTTATCTTTAATCTTCGTGCTCTTTAGTAGAGTAGAATTCGATTACTTCCTCCTCGTAATAGAGATCCGGCTCGATAGTAGTAATAGTGGGATTATTAACTTCCTGGCTAGAGATAGTAAAGATATCATAGGCAGAGACGTCGTTTTCTCTAGACTCCTTAGTTTCGGGAAATGAACTATTCTCTAGTTCTAATAGCCCATTCTCTGCCACTGGTTCAATTGCGTCAGATAGTAGCTCGACCTGCTGGCTTGCCGTGGCAGTATCCTTTCTTGCTTTCTGGCGATTTCGGTAGTTTCGTGTACGATTCGCTTGTAAGAGACGCTGGCGTACTGTAGCACTGTCCTGTTTTTTAGCGCCTATAAATTGGATCTTTATAACTGCTCGTGCTGAAGAGCCTCCTAGTTTGGTTCTACTGTTGTCGTGGTAAATGGAAAGTTAATATATTAAGTAATCGAAATTGCTAGGTATAGAAACTGAAAGTGACTATAGGGCGAGGGGGTAATTCTTAAAAGCCTGCACTTGATAATAGAGGTTGGGTTAGCTAAACTTATTAGAGAAGTGGCATGTATGATGATGTTATATAGGCAATTACCTCTAGGGAAGATATTACCCTATGATACCTTAATTGTCAGAACAGCGTTATAGATCTGTTGCAGGATCAGCAGGTCTAGTATCTTAGCCTTGCCCCTTAGATACAAAGATAAAGAGGGAGAACGAAGGACGAGGAAGAACACAAGCCACATCATTAATACAGTGTGGTGCGGGTTCAGCGTCAGTAATTTAATGGTAATCTTGATGAAAACGGGCTAAACGCAATGCGCATCGACCTAGACCTTTCCAACGGGGAGGCCGATTTTATTGAGAAGCTCACCACGTACATACAGTGCGCCATTGCTACGGTAGTTTCAGCCTAAATTTGGGAAAGTCCAAGATCAACATGCTGACGCTGAACTCGCACCCCACTGTACACTCAAGATCATCCCAATATTATCTTTTATCATCAGTGACCTAGTGAGGGCGCGCTGTATAATAAAACTTCGCTGACCCTGGAGCGCTAGCCGTATTAGGAAATGTAACGCTTAACCTATGTATTGCACTATTTTATAATAGGAAATGTAACGCTTACTCGATTGTCACTATATCGCGATATGCTATGACATGCCGCGATAGCAATATCGATCTAAGAATAATAAAACTTCTTTTATATGTTTTTTAGATCAGTAAGGTATATATAAAAACTATACTTGGCCGTGATAATTAGTGGTAGCCGTGAAGACCTAAGTCGCAATTGCCTACTAGATGCATCAGCAATCACACGGCGAGACCTGATCACATAGTTCTCTTCCAACTCCACCCTGATTCTCTCCACCATCGATCTTTTGAAGTCAACAATGGCTTCTGTGAACCTCTCGGGTTCCTCGTCGTTGAAATCAACAAGGTCAACCTTGCTGAGCAAGATCCGGAATGGTCGAGGATCTCGGCGTCGCTTGAGGAGGTCGGCGATCTCTTTTATAGATCTTTCCGTTGAGAGAGACCTTTCAGAATCGCACTTCAGGACGATGATGAGGATATCAAAGATATCTTGAAAGAGACGTGCCATTTGCCTCACTTCATCAATCTGATCATCGAAGCCTGGGCAGTCATGAAAGACGCCTGTTTTGCCCTGTGGGGCGTATGACTGGATTTCCAGGGTCCGCGACCTAGAACCAAACCCGGAACCGAAAAAGTGTTGTGGCGTACCAGTCAGAGTAGTGAGCAACTCACTTTTCCCGGCTTCAGTTGGGCCCATGACGCCAATGTTGGTCTTCTCAATGATGTATCGCCGGAGTTGGGCAATCTTCTCAACCCGAAACATCCATCTTGCCCAGAAAGTCGTCGGTTCTGGCGAACCAACTGAGAGGATACCCCGTGTAAGGTCGCCGAGTCCTGTTCTAATCTCATCGGTCCAGCGCTTCACCCTGGACCTGTTGCTGTCCTGTGCCGCATCCTCTTACAGCTTGTCCTGAATGGCAAATTCTAGGCTGCAAGTAAACGGGGAGTAGGGTATGCCAAGCGCATCAGTGGTAAGTTTGAGTATGCGATCATATTTAGACTGAAACGCTTGTCGTTCGACCTTCCACCATTCCCATGTGTAAAGAATCCCCTGAGCGACTGCAGTGACGCCGAGCCCGACGGAAGCACCGGCCCACCCACTCAACAATGTGAGTCTGGCTAGCACTGTATAGACTGTCACCAGACTTGTACCGGATGCTATTGCTCCCATGACATTCAACTGTTTGACCTTGAAGAACCAATCTTTCTGGGCGGTCAGTTGTGTAAGAATGACAAAGTGGCAGAACTCCACCGCAGCAAGAAGCTTTTTTGTTTGCTCAATAGCCAATTGAACCCGCTCAGCTTCATTGGGCGGGCGATGGTACAGGTTGTGGCTAAAGCGCTTCAGGGCCTGCTCAAGCGACCTCAGTTCGGGGTGGACCGTTCGAAGGGATGGGTTGTCGGCCTCTGGATCGTGTCGGAGACGTTTCCCGTTTTCTCCAGTCTCATCGAAGGAAGTGAACATCAGGGAAAGCAATTCTTCGAGCTCCTCCTCACAGTCTCGAGGGTTATCATAACCCCCAGGCATCCCACGTCCCTCATTCCGCCGAGACCCCCATATTACTTCAACGTTGGCCAGTGACTCCGCGCGATTTTTCTGAACGAGGCAGGGGTTTGCGTTCCGCACAAGGTCGTCTATTATCCGAGCAATGCGTCGTGTCTTTGCTGGAAGGGTAATGGGTTCTGCCTGGGCATCTTCCCGCACTCGGAGCATGTGGACGTTTGATAGTTAATCGGCCAAGGCAATGATCATAACCTGCCGTATAGACTCATACGTTGTTAACATCTTAAGGTCCTTCAACGACGCATGCTCCAGGTGTTCGACCACGAGTCGTGTACGATATCCAAAGGAGTCATGAATGAACAAGGCCTCCTGGAGATTGTCCGCAGCTTCTAGAAGTTCTCTCCCCTCCCCGCGCTGCATGATGTAAATGGTCACCTTCAGAGTCTTGATTAGCCCAAAGAAATACCAAGCAGAAAGGAAGGCAACGTACCGCATCATCTCTGATCCTTCTCTCACAGAAAAAGCCAGTGACATCCCTCTCGGCAATTTGAGTCTCAAAGCTGATCCGAGGAATGAAGTATCCGGCGAGGGGAGCATCTAGTGTGACAGATACCACTGCCATTTCGTCTTTGATAGTGCAAATTCCGCCGCGGATAGGGTTCTAAAAGGGCAAGCAATGTTGACGAAGGGTATCAGGCTGCATTTCTCCGGTATCAGAGAGCCGAACGAGGTTCTCGCTGAGAGGGATATCGCCAATGCAGTAGTTGTAATGATCCATGACATGAAAACGGGTTTCTCGACTCGGCACCCGACTTGAAGGTATCTGGCCAACATTGACGACGGGTGAACACACATACCTCTGCTCACTTCCACCTTCAATACCCAGGAGATAGAGACGGCCGAAGTGTGCAAACTTATCGTCCCCTATGCTCCAAAGGCGGAAAATGAGGGCCAGAGCGTCACTGTGTGCCTTGAAAGATGGCAAGAGGGCCTCGAAAACCTCACGGAGCTTGTTCATCATGCTTTGAATGGCCTGCACCGAAAGACTGGCCAGAAATGGGACAGGATCATCCGGATTGATGATGTGGTGAAAATTCCTGCGAAACCTGCTTCGTGGACGTGCCGTAGTTGTGGGGCTCTCGACAACCATGGGACTTGGTGCCCCGAAAGTGATTGTAGAGAGACCTACAGCACTATCCCCCCATGTGTTGTCAATACTTTGGCGGGTTGCCTGGTCCAGAGCTTGATAGGCTGCGATGGTAGCCATGGCACCACTATTAGAATAGATCAGTATGTCAACCATATTACAAACATGAATTCAACCAACCCCAAACTATGGCCGCACAGGACAACTCGGAATCTTGTAACCAAGTGTGTCACTAGTGGAACATATTCATTCGCTCGTTGATAAAAACCCTGATGGAATCGTGACGCCCTTTCGGTGTCGGCAACTTGTCGAACATCTACATCTGACAAGACATCCTTTGCCACCTGAGTTCCAGGGAAGGCCAAGAAGACGAGCTGAAGACGATTCGACCATGCCAAAAGAGGGGCTTGCTGAGAATCACTATTTGTTTCTTCCGCGAGGCTCTTGACACCATTGGCAAGAGGCCAGATGTAAGACACAACATCATGCCGTCGGATGAGCTCAAACTTATTGCTGTTTTGAAGCATGTCAGCAATCTTTGAGCGGTCCTCATAGCTGAGCACGCTCAACGCCGAGGCTCCAAGGAAAGTGAGAGCCTTAGTGGCCTTGGTCTCTGCAGTGGCGTCGTGTTCGTAATCATTGAGATCAATATAGTCAAGTGGAAAGTTTGGATTGACACTCATAGTGGGAAAAATTCAAAAAAAAAAAAAAAAAAGTCTGATGAAAGAGGTGCGGGTGGGAAGGCTTGAGAGGTTGAACAATAATGTGAATGAAAGTTCAAGGGGAGGGAACTACGGCGGATTGAACAAATTTAATATTTTTCAACCCAGGTCTTGGGGCGCACCATGACAGAAGGTCCTGAGAAAACGAAAGCGTCTCTGCCCAGCGAATCGCGTCAAGTACGCGCCCACACCCACCTGACACGAATCTCAGCTGAGGCTTTATGTAGATACCACTATTGGTTGCACATTGTAGGTAACCGGTCCATAAACAACAGCTCGCTTTCCGCTCTGTCTCACCTATTTTGGTCCTCCATGCAGCGGCTACCCTTTGTCAGGGACACTTGTCGTCACTATTGGTTGCACATTGCAGGAAACGAATCTATAATTAGTAGCCTTCTTTCAGCTCTGTCGTTCTTGTATTAGTCCCCTTCTACGCGGCGGTGAGCTTAAGGTCTCATGCATTTTCTAAGCATCAGAGTTCTCATTTGAATGAAAACGTGTCCAGGAAATACTTCAAGTTGTGCACTATCGTGTTCGTTTTGGTTACTAACTTGTTGTTTGAAACACGGCGGCAATACTGCCCGGCTTCCAAGCGGTTAGCTTATTATTCTCCGGCTCGCATGGCTGGGGCTGCCGTCGGGCGAGTGCTGCTTTCAGGGTTCCGCAAAGCTCGTTTTCTGTACAAAGTTCATGTACCGAATCAGGCTGGCGCCAATTTTGGCAGAGGACGAACGCCACACACACCAACTGCGACCGTGGGAGTGACCGCATGACATTCAACGCTCGGGGCCATTAAGCGATCAATTTTTGTCTCATCCATGATCTCATGTGATTGGAGATCCGGCGAAAATACCAGAAAATGCAGTTATTTCGAGCATCTTGGGCACTTTAAGCGCCGATAACTCGTCACCGTCGAACTCCTTTTCAGCTCTACCGGGACGAACGCCCTGAGACAGTGGCAATATGCAATTTGGCTCGCAAAGTGTATGACTGCTTTGGGGTGGCCGCAGGTTTAAGTATCAGGCTGTAATGCGTCAACGAACTTTCGGCAATGTTAGTTGAGAAAATGCCGCATCTTGCCGTTTTTTTCTAGGCTGCTGCCGCCCACGAAGCAACTCATTGGTATTCGTAGTATATGAGGCGAAGCAGGAAGCTCGGTTATATCTACCCGTTGGCTCATATGGGCCAAGGCCCAGGCGAGCCAACCTAGCAAGCTATCCATAGGAGAATCAGCACTTAGGTTTTCAACATCACAACTAGAATTCCTCGTGTTTTATAGTTTGATTGGGTACTTATATGCCTTAATAACATTTAAATGCATTTTTTATGTCTTAGATATACGTTGCTGTTGTACGATATGGTTAAACTTAATGACCTCGAAGGCTATTAGAGAACGGAGTGTAGGTGAGCGTTATAATTTCCTTTTCTGGGTTAGTATACTTTTTAGCGTAAGCATTATAATTTCCTAATTAGGTTAGCACGCTCTTACACCCCCAGTACCTCAATTTCTCAAATAGAGTCAGGAGATACCACTAATAATAAAAAAGCACTAATAGAGTTTCGATTTATAAATAAACATAACCCCGCTACGCTACGTCGATATCGCCTATAAGCGGAACATACCTAGAGGTAGCGGCAGTGATAAAAATAAAATATTGAGACTATAAATTATTAGGCTAAGTCGTCTCGAATAGCTAAGTTTGCGGTAGAGAACATACAGACGCGACCAGAGAATAGTTCATTAGTCGATACTAGAGAGTTTAGACCTAATAAAATCTCTTCTAGTAATATTTTTATTACCCTTAGTCGGGAAGATAATAATCTAGGTATAATCGATACCGAGCTAGCCTATTATAATAAGGAACTAATTGACGCCTATGGTGCTATTACGACCCTCGCGGCTATGTCACGTGGTCCCCATAAATCCCGAGTCTTAAACTACTAATCATAATAAGACCGATATACTAAGGACCGATATTATTCCTAGACCGCGTCGGTCCTAGAATAATATCGCGCCTACTCGCGAATAGCTTTACTTAAGGGAGCCTAAGTATATAAAATATACTTATTATACTTTCTTATATAATAGCTACCTTAGCTATTAATATAACTTAGTTATACTTAATACTATTAAGTATATTACTAGATATAATTTATACCCTATTTAAGATAATATTAATAATCCCTTATTAATATAAACCTAATATAACTAATTTATCCCTTAGATCTAACTAAATTATTATATATTAATAGCTCTTATTTAGAGGATTACTCGTATTACCTTAGATAATATTAAATATAATAGCTACTTAGGTAAACCCCATTAATAATAATTAGTAGGTTCTACCTACCGGTTACCTATTTACTATACCTATATAAGCTCCCTTAACCGACGAAGAGATAAACGAAGCGGATAGCTCTAACGATAAAGAAATCAAGTAGCTCCGAGCCTAAATTACTACTATAAGCACTAAGATAGATAGACTCTATAAGCTTATCGAAAGGATAAATTAAACCTAGCGCACTTAGAATATATAATACCTAAATAATATCTAAGACCTTAATAACCTAGCTATCGCTACTATAAGAGGTAAGGATATAAGAGAAATCCTAAAGCTAAACCCACCGAAGATATTTAATAGAACCGTATATAAGCTATTAACCTTTCTTATATAGCTACGCGCTTTTATAACCTATTACCTAACTTAGTTTACCTTAGCGGCTAATAAAGTTTAATATGCTATAGGAAGGCTTAAAGGTTACGCTACCGCATAGTTTAAACCGGTTATAAGGGAATACTATATAACCCTATTCGCTAGACTCTCGCTATAAACTAATAACCTCTACTCGAGCTATAAAACCTTCGAGGCCGCGCTCCGATAAGCTTTTAGAATAGTTAATAAAAAGGGATAAGCCAAAAGGGAAATTAAGACCCTTAAATAAACCTAATTAGCCTCGGAGTATAAAATAAAGTACCTCTAACTCGCCTTAAAGCTTAACTAGGATTAAGAACCCCTAATATCCCTCTTCTTTAATAGACTTAAGAAAGAAATATAAGCAGAGCTATATAAGGAAGATCGACTTAATAACCTTATTAATTATATTAATAAGGTAATTAGAATTAATAACTAATAGTTTTTATAGAAGAAACTATAGAACCCTAGGTTTAGTAGCTATAAGGTAATTACCCCCTGGTTTAATACGAATTAAGGATAATTATAATAACCTAATATATCTTATAGGACCTAGGCTAGACCTATATAACTTAGGATAACCTAATAAGGAACTATAAATATTAAATATTATTATTACTATAAGAAGGGCTATAAGGCTAATAAATATAAAAAGAAATAATAAGATATCTAGGAAAGATATTATTAGCCTCGATAATAACTATAACTCCCCAAAGGTAAGAAATAAATAAGATTCGCATAGGTAAATAATAAACCTTAGATAGCTATCTATACTACTAAGACCCTTAGAATAGCGAGGTAAGAATATAATAAGACTAGCCTTTACCTAGGAGAAGTTATAATACTATATATATAAGTATACCTCACCTAGAAATAGGCAGAGTATAATATTAATATTAGATAAAGCTACGCTAATAGGCTATATAAGGCTAAATGATTAAAAAAGCCTAAAATAATAAACCTCACCGCACCTATAATAAAATAGAAATTACTATTAGAATTATCTAAGAAAGAGGGGACCCTAGATAATGCTAAAACTATCGCGGTCCTCTAACGCGCTATAGATTAGCCTAATAAGCAGAGAATATAAAATCTATAGATAGCATAAGAATAAGTAGAATACTAAGAAGCCGCCGCAGAAGGATTTAACTATAAGAAGTAAATCATAGGGTACAATAAGAATAAATAATCTTAGATACCCGCCATAGTCTATCGCAGGGATTACTAATAGAATAACCCTATATAATATAATCGCACCCTATGCCCCTAATATTAGGTCGAGGCATCGCGAGAATATAATAAAATCTACAAATAATAAAAAGTAAACTAATATAGCAAATTACTACGCTATAATTAGATCACTAAGGCAATAAGTAATAGCCTAACTTAGGTATAGATTATAAATAATACTAAGAACCCCTAGGAGGATTAATAAAAAGAACTTATATAAATAGGGAAAAGAATATAAAAAACTAACGAGGAACTATAAAAGGAAAACCCTTACCTATGATTATATAACGAAAATAATAACTAATACTAGAATAGCGCATAAGAATAATATATCTAGATAGCACGAGAATATATAGATACCTCTAATAAATAGGAAGTCTATATTCGCGCCTACTATAGGGAATTAGCAGAGAACCCTTAATACCTAGAAGTACCCTTTAACCTATAAGACAATATATAAATATACCTAATATACTAAGAATACGCTAATATCTCATAGATATTATACTAATAGTATTAATACGAGGCCCACCGGAGAGAGAAGTAAGAATAAGACTATTTCCCTATCGTATTATTATATTAACCTAATAATAAGTTATATCTATAATATAAAACGGAAGGCTATTAAATCTTCTATTAATATAACTCTATCGGCGTAGCCTATATATAATATAATAGTAAACTCTATTATGCTATTTAGGAATAAAAACGGGTTACCTATAAAATTAAGGACTAATAAAAATAGATTAGCTAATAAGAATAAGAAGACCTAGGAGCTTAAGAAGAAAGAAGCTACTAGGAATATCTATATAATTAGATAGATAACTATAATTATAAAGTATATAGCAAAAGCGAGTATAAATTCGACTATATAAGCTATTAGCTATTAAAAAACTAGATACCTTATCCGGAATAGGGCAATAGGTGAATAAATAAGGGAACCTATTACCCTAGAAGGCCCTCTACTCTACGATTAGAGCATATAGGCGATAATACCTAGAACTAAAAGTATAAGTTAAGGGAGAATAATTAAATACT